AACCCTCCACCCTCTCTGGGCGTAGTAATGCATGTATGTATGTACGCAGTATACTAGATTCGCGGGGGCTAGATAATTGCCAAATGTCGTGACGTATGTACCACGTTCGGTATAGTTTGGCGGCTGATGCACGATTGGGAAACGAAACTATCTCGCCTCGAGGGCTGCAGAGTGCCACCCCAGGTACATCGAGGCACACATGTGTGCCTTTCGTTTTATCTGATCTCACCCAGATCAGGAAAACCATTTCAGATTGATATCTGGGCGAACACGAAGTCGGGGGACAGAAGGTGGAGGTTACGCTGATTGAGATATCGGACGACTGGCTTCTTCGGCGTTCCTCTGTGCCTTTAATCGTGGGTAGCTCACTTTACGTGTTGGATAACGAGACTGTAGACGTTTGTTTGAGGAACTGGAATCCTCTAGACCTGTTCACCTCTTGGCTGTGAATGACGAGTATACTAAGTGCGAGAAAAGTAATTATCATTTGTTATTTAAATCGAAATTGGTGTGAAAATTGAAACATATACTTGTAAATTTGAAATATTGTGGAATATTTTCAGACTACTTGACTGGAATAGTTCTTGTTACATCGTTTGTCTAAATAATATATTTTTTTTAATAAGAAAATTATGACTGTTTAAGTTTAGTAAATAATATAAATAAATTTAAACAATAATTACATTGTACGTATGAGGATATAGGGCCATTCTTATGTATTAATCTTGAAGATTTGGAACCAAGCAAAAGTTTCTTTTCTAACCAGGATTCTATGTGGTTCCGGTTATTTTAAGAACATTTTTAACAATTCGAAATGTAATGGAGAGCGACCGATGTTCAAACAGCATCGTAATGTCTATAATGACCGCCGAAAGTAGAAACATCGAGTAATGGTCAGACACACGAGCAAATTTTTCGAAAGTCCATTTCATTGCACATTCAATTGAAATGAGAAGAATTTTCTTGTATTATTCTGATGCATTGTTACACGAGGTATCACACTTTCATCTTCTGAAAGCAGTGTTTCCAGTTTGTACAATACATTGGAAATTGGAGTCTATCCATCGTCTTTGTCGCAGTAATTAAAATCCTGCTCCACAGAAACTCACGAACCAGTCTCATAATATTTCTCCTCGGAACTTCCTTATACTTTCTCTCGTAGATAATTGAAGGAGTACCCGGAACTGTTATGTTCTCATTCCGTTTAAAAACCTGGCACTGATACACACCGATTCCACTGGAAAAGTACGTTTCTGCGCTGTTGTTCTTGGACAGAAAACTTCCTATGCACGAACCGAACGCAAACGACATCGTTACGACCGTCGTGCTCTTATAACTGTACCGTGTAGATCTGTGTTCTACAGTAAAACGAATCATTTTAAATTCCCCTATTATAGATCTCGTCCGACAATTGGGTCGACCAGATGTTCCAGAGAGAGAGAGAGAGAGAGAGAGAGAGAGAGAGAGATATTTTAACGCTCTTGGGTGGGATAAGCCACGGCGCATGACACGTTTTCCTAATTAATTAAACATTTACTCTACATTCATCCACCGCAGGTGCGATCTTATTTCGTTCGCGATGCCGTTTCGCGTTTCCTCAGGATTATTTACATGCAAATAAAAGCCTCGTTTGTATGAATATTTATTCAAATAGTCTACGAGGATTATGAACGCCCGTGGCTGGGAAAGTTGGACGCGTAAAGAGGATGCTTACGACGAAGGTGGACGGGCGAGAACATAGCAGGTCGAATTGGGACATCGAGGATGGCACATTTAGAATACTTTATTTATTAGAATACTTGGTCATCAAAATCAGAGAATACGGTTTTTTAATAAATTTATGGAGAAAACTATAATCTTCAGATTGTATACCATACTGTGCATATACATAATCATTCGATTGTGGATTTTCACGCAACTATAGATTTTTGTGGACTAATTTGTAGGAATTGGTATTGAACAGCAATTTGTTTATTCTACTAGGAATTTCAATAAGCTAAAAGTAAAATAAAAACATCTCATTTGGTTATCAGAATTTCTTTAGTTGCCTAGGGTTCTCGAAGATTCGCGTTTAAATGTTCCCAGTCAGTCCGACCGAGAGTTAAAACATATTATCACACAAAAATCTAAAGAATAGTATACGTTATAAATACTTAAAATCCGTAATCTACTGATTATCGTTTCCACATGATCGATCAGTAATTTACATCCTTCATTTAGAATTTTAGCTCAGTTTCGAGGACCATCGATTTTTCTTTGTAATAAATATTACTCCATTACTACACTACAAACATACACTCACACACCCCAAATCGGTTTTCGTTTTCCACGTTCTATTATTCCATGGAATACATCTGTTCCCACGCCATATTATGTTACCGAGTTTCGCGTAACATCGACCCCCGTGGACCAATCTCGGGGCTCTACTAACACGAGCGTAGAAGAGTGACGATTCTCCCGGCCCTTCGACACGGTATGTCCCTTCAACGCGCTCGGAATCTCGGTTGTTCGGCTGCTTCCAGGATCGCGATGGTCATAGGGCTCCGATTTAATTAAGATACGAGCAATCCCGTCCAGAAGAAGTCGGTTTCGATGGAAATATCGGAAAATATGAGGATTATGCAAAGCCTCCGCTGTACAGCGAACCCATTAGCTTGGCACCCGTTACCAGCCGCGCATAATAATAACTGACATTCTTAAGATCGCGATGCAAATACTGCGGAGATAATTAAACGCAACCCAAGGGGCGGAGGGGAGAGGTCTGATGAAACGTGGCGGTAAAAACGAAACGTGTTTCACGGCGATGTACGTACCTACACCATCGGTCAGAGAGGCTCTTTGAACTTTTAATCATTACGTATGTTTCAGACTGTCGGTCGTGAAAAAAGAAAATTAATTCAGCTGTCTGCCTGGTGGTTCTTCCCTCGCGCCGCGAATGTTTATTACCTGTGTTTTATAAACCCTTTTAATTGCCCCGGTTACGCGTAAACTGGGCCCGTAATACGTCGCTCTACGTTTTATAAGCCTCACGTTCGCGGGATCTCGACGAAATTGCGATGATTAAAATTGTGCTACGGTTGTCTGTATCCACGCGGTTCTCTTCGATTTCTTTCGACGTTTTTTTTTCCATTAATCCAGAAGGGAAGGAACACGCGCGGATATAACGAACGCGGGGAAATAATTTTTGCGCGAGCTTCTGTTCTCGTTGCATGTTCGTTGATTCTTGTTTTACTGTTTCTGAGGGGGAAGAAAATTGCGTGACCCGGGTATATCTTTGTTGTGTATCGTTTGAATTTGTTGGATGGGTGTTTGGAATTCTTGATGTGTGATATTTAGACGGACATTACGTCGATAAAGGGATTTATTCTTACGAGACCGCGTACTATTGTTAATATCTATTCGTTATACATATAAAGAAAATTATAGTAGCACTTTCATTCATAATTAACGTTCCAATTTCTAAGCCAGCATAATTTATTCGATAAAAACAGAATGGTGTTTTGCAATGTCCACCTATACATTAGTTATTTGTTATTCCTGTTTTATGTTTTTTTAATATTTTAATGAGGGTGTCAAGAACATTCCACAGAATAGAATGCAAGTCACTGACGATTGTTTTCAAAACAATATGATTGGTGTAGCGAATGTGTTAATTCGAATTCTTGCAAATTATCATTTTTACAAACTGTGAAAGTATGTGACTATAATGTCGCAACTCATCGCAGGTAGGCGATGGTCGTAATACTCGACGCTTGGGCCGTCGACAAGGTCACCAAACTGTCATAAACAGGGATTCTTTATATTTCGGCGCTGACTTCGAGGAATCTAAGTAACAATACATACACCAAACCCCACTTTTTCCAACTCATAGTACCATTTCTTAAACTACCTTCACCAACCAAAATTCTGCATTTCCCACTCATCAAGAGTTGATCCGTTCCCTCATTCAGTAGAACACATTCAACCGTCGAGAAGAACACATCGATCACAACCGGTACACACATACATCGCACTGCTAAGTTTGTATTAAAGTCTAAGTGTGTCACTAAGTTGTGTCAATCAATTAGAACACATAATACCAATCACCATCGCATCATCTTTCCAACGAGCTCCACGGTATTAATTTACCAATAAGCAGTGGTTAATACGCCAGCTTATCGTGAGTCGCCGCATAAATAATTTTTAACCAAAGTTTTGATAATTTAGTGACAATGTTAATTTAACCACGATAACAATTCTAGACTTTATTACGAATAAAATAATCAAGGGGTTTATTAATTTCTATTGTAAATAACGTAAAGGTCGTGTCAATGTTTTCAAAAGTGTTTTTAATCTACCGCGTGTTATCTTATTGTACAATACATTTACTAGTGTCATAAACGCAGATAATGGACGGTCTATTCGTGACCATCTGACCTCTGCTAATTCGCTATGCGAGTAGAACGGGGCCGCTAAAGTTTGTTACGCCCTGTATACACGATGGCTACTATCAGAATGGAAGGCGGCTTCAATTCAAGGCGGCTGATTAGTAGCCTTGAGAGATGCTTCGGGGGTAGGAACTATGGGAAACACTTGTCTTGCTAACTAGGTGAACTTCGGTAGTTAGAAAACTGTAATGTACACGAATACGAACTGAGAACGGATTAATCCAAGTTTAACGAGGCTTAACCGGGCCCCGTGTGTTACCGAAACGAAATTTACCACGTTTAATTCATTGGTTACGATCTATCCAGTGATGATTCGATCACGGGATTAATATTTCTGATTATTCTTTAGAAATTCTATTATAAATGAATTATCGAGTAACCCGTTATCATGATTGTCTCGCTTAGTCATTGTCACGCATCTTTGAATGAAACAGATACACCTTGACAAAATTATCGGGAGCTCTCGGGCCTTTAGCTTTGTGCCAACCGCGACAGGTTGGAAGCATACGTTAGGCTCGAAGGCTCGCAGTGGTTTGCAACGTTATACGTATAATTAATTCCCCGTTGTTCCAGTCGGCGCCATGTACGTGTGCATGCTGTACGCCATCCTGTTCCTGAAGCTCTGGTCGTACGTGCAGGTGAACATGTGGTGTCGGTTGAGCAGTCAAAGAAAGACAGCCACGCAGGGTAGAATGCGACGGCAGTCACTGTCCTACAAGAATCTACTATGTAAGTAGAGAAAAAACGTCTTTTACAGTCACCCTCGGACCAGATCAGACCTTGTGAGTTTGCCTGAGGTAGTCGAAACTGTTTCGAAATTAGAATTGTTATCTTAGAACTTGTTTAATTTACGAAAATAATAGCCATTACATTCGAATTGGTACTGTAGCTTCATTTTGTTTTAAATCCGGTGGAATTTTACCATTAATAGAAAATTAAGCCGACTACTTCAAGTAAAAAAATGCATGTAAATATTTTTGTCCGGACAGTACTTTAGCGTCCACCTAACAATTTCACAACAGCAGTCAATAGTAATTACATTAAATCCTCGATGAGTGTTCGAAGGCTCCTCGACACTGAACATTACATATTTCGTAAACTAATAGCCATACGCGGCTGAGACAAATATCATTGGCTTTAGAATTCCGAGTGTAAATTAAAAAGTGAGCGTTACACCTGGGGACCTCTCCTTGTCAGTGCCGAGAAGCCGTCGAACATTCGTCGTGGATTTACTGTACTGACCTTAGCCTCTGTCTCTGTCGAATGTGATTTCATTGTGATATTCACTTAAGTCTATCGATGTTAATAAGTATCAACAGCCATCGATTCGTTGTCAATGGTATGATTTTACCAGTCTGTTAGATTTTACTGTATCTTGTCCACCAAATACATCAGTTTGTAGTCGCGTGATAATGCGTCTGGTTTTACGGCTGGTCACGCTACGTTCCGATCGGCTACGTCAATTTACCGGCGGCCGAATGCGCTGGAAACGTTATTTTCCAAAACGTACATATGTAACGGTGTTCGCGAGTACTTTCAGCGTACACGCATTACGCATTCCCTTTACACCGTTTCGTGCTTTAACGCAGTGTTCCCTAATTTTACGCGAGCCAATGGAAAACGTTCCCTTCTGCCCTGCACGTTAATGTCCGAACGGCGTTTCTGCGACACGGGGACGGTTTTTATTCATTTTTATTTTCTGCAGGGAAATTCCTGCGTTCCCCGTCAATAAAAGAACAGTCGGTTTCAGTTGCGTGTGAAATGGTGGATTAAATGATGGGCAGGGCGGAGTAATGAAAAAAGGGTATTAAGAGACTTTTTCAGAGATAACATAGACCATCGATAGACACGCGTCAGGGAAGAATGTTGTGATCCTCTGAATTACTGATCTTCTGTAAAGAAGAGACAGTCGAATCTTGTTTTCTCTCGTTAATAATGATTTATGGTAGCGACCGTACCAGGGATGTGATACATACATCTATATCCGTCCGTTGATTTCTGTGATTTATATTGACCACGGTAAAAACCACACGAAAGGTTATGAATATTAATACACGTATTGCAACTATACAGAGGATATAAAAAACTTGATGTATTAATATTAATAACGTCGTATATTTTCATGTTTGAGAAGAGAAATCAAACGCACTTTGTATTAATGTTAGGGTTTGCTTTTTTTAAATACTTTCTATGTAGGTAACATTAATGATACTCCCTTTACGTTCAAGAGCTATCTTTTCGAATTTTTTTATTATTCAGAAGAGTCAGCAAAATTCTCATAAGACAGAGAAAGATTGGAAAGTACAGTTTGTGAACATTTGTTTCGTTTGTTCAAGTTTCTGTATACATCCTCGTGTTTAATTCTTTTATCACAACTTCCCAGTGATTTATCAGTTACGTTATTATCAGTAATTATCATATCGTTTTATCATATCTGACTTCTGGAATTTATTGGAACGTCGAGAATCCTGCATAAAATGTTTACCATGAATTACACGTCGCCAATTAATCCGAAGGGCGAGTAACCGTAGCAGAACAAGCTCGCCGCCGATACCTCGAAGGCGGGCTCGATTTATCGGGACACGGAGGCGCTTAATAAATTTATTCAGCCGAGCGAGACAACACACCGTAAATATTCGTCACACGTTGCGGACTCTGACGTCCGGTATACCCTGTTCCGCTGCACACATATCTTTCTAGGCTGAAATACAGTTGTTTTGGGTTTGAGAGGAGGCGGTAGGATTGAGATCTTAAAACCTCGAGACTGAAGAGGTCTCAAAAGGATACTCTGACATCATACAATTATCGAAATTGTGTGAAATGATTAGCCTTGTGAAAATCTTCAAAGTCTTGAATACCAGCGAACTCAAGACCAAAACAGAAGCAAAACTTAAGCCTCCTATGTACTCAGGATTCACAGGGATTCCAAGAATTCCAAGGCACTCAAACAAAAATTCGTAGACTTTCAAAGCTTTCCAGATTCCCAACATTTCTCGGTCTTTCAGAACATTTACAACTTGTAGTCATTTCAATTTCAAAAAGGTCCCAAATTCTATTTAAATACTGTATTTGTGATTCCTTCAAAACATTCTTTTAAGACCGAGTTTTAGAGTCGTTCCACTGTTTTGACATGTTATTTCGATTCTAAAAACACACATTGGATTGTAACTGACCACGATGCGTCTGCACAAATTTCTGTTACTCCCCTTCTCCATAAATACATCGCCACAATGGAAGAGGCGAATAATTTCCACCCAATTTAAACTCCCGATCAGCGTCGCCTCTGTTTCCGGGTATTGGGTGCCGACCCGCTAGTACATCGATTATTCAGTCCTGGTGAAGTCAAATTATACGAGCGACCTTTCCTCCGATAAACTCACCGCATTGAATAGTAATCCTTTTCTCCTTTCAAACCTCCCGTCCCCTTTCTCTTTCTCTCTCTCTCGTTCTATTCCTTCCACCTGTGTTCTTTCTGGAGAACTCTCGAGGAATGAGAATTACGAGGACCGTATGTATCATTTTGGCGCGTTATGGCCTTCTCCGGTGCAGTGGAAAATCTGTTACAACTCCTATGGTTCCTTGGAGTCGCTGTAGATAACACTTGAGGAAAAATCAAACAGATCGTGTCATAAGTTAACCGCGAGGGTTGTAGGTATTGTTGCGAATTTATTAACTGAATTCACAATTTATAGACGTATAATATCTTCTATTAGTATTCCGTGAGATAAATTTATTCTTTTCCTTGACACGTATTTATTTCTAACATTGGAATAATTACAGACAAACGTGTATAATTAATCTCTCATTTTCTCGTTGAAATTTCTTTCTTTTCCTCTCTCTCAACCAGATCCGTGGTAATTTTTTTAATAATATAAGGGATATCAAGCAGATTAAAAGTCCACTCCTGTTTTGCCAATTGAAATTTTCCGCGTATTAGTGGTATCTCGAATCGTTCATCGTATTAAAAATTTTTCCAAGCAGGCATCGCGTCTTCGTGTCTCGAATATTCTTCCGATTCTTCTTTAATTCCTCGGTACGAGATACGTCCGCAGAATCCTAAACGCTCTACGACAGCGTATATATAGAGGGAGAGAGGGAGAGCAGCAGCCACCGTGGCTGTTTGCAAATTCGGTTCAAGTCCATTTCATCGTATCAGGTGGCCTCCCTCGTTTCCTGAGTTCTTGTTCACGGTCGGGGCCTCGTTAATCAATGCCAAGATAATGCGGGGAGGAAGACATAATGGGGTATGCATGCGAATGGTGCATCCGTGGAGCTGATACCTTTCCCGGAAGTCCGTGGAACAGATGTTGAGGGATGGTCGAACGGTAAGTATCGCGAGGCGGGATAATGTAGTCATTGAAACGTTTGTGGCTCCTGGTTCTCATTGACCGAAACGAGGGCTCGGTTTCCAACCCGTGAATACTGGTGATCCTCTTCCTCTCTGTCTTGAAAGACAATAGATCGAACACTGACATCAGTCACCGAGGGATAATTAGCAATTTAGCACTCGAGGCGGTATAATTAAACGTTTCGTTAGATATTAAATGAAACGAATTGGAGTAGTATTCATGAATTTCAATTTTTAATTAACAGTTTCAATACTTCGTTATTATCATTCCAAGATTCAGTATCATGGTCAACTATTGAAAATTATGCTACCTGTCTAGATAACAAGAATTTATTACATTCATTCGGAATTATACTCCTGTGAGTTTTATACTTATTTTTCTTCAGTTATGATATGTTTTATATATATGTAAGATGTGTTTATATATATGTAAAGATGAATTCTCTTAAGCCTGTTTCCACTTGAAAGTAGACTTCTACGAATTTTACTCTTGAGATTGGTAGATGCAACTAATGAATCCTGGGCCTATATGGAATTAGAGTTCCTACTCTTATAAGATACGTGGACACGTAGATACTATTATTCGGGGCGACTATTATTCGGCAAACGTGCAGTGGCCGGTTATGGTTTCGCGTGCCACGCCGCCATTCGAGTCGTTCAGATTCTGACGAACGTCTTGGCGGTATCCACTGATAGATCAGTATGTTCGGTGTTCTGGAAATTATTAGCGGACCGTGGTAAATAATTCATGAACCCTGTAGATTTTAAGGGAAAATTTGTACTCTAATTTTCGGATGTTTTTCACGTCGTTAACACGTTCTCAACGCTTGCAAGGAATGTAAAAAATTGTGTGAAACATAATCCGCATCGAGTTTCAAAATCTCTGACAATTTCATTCACCCAATCAGAATTCCTAATTTCATTCAAGCAAATCTTCAAGAACAGGAATATTCAAGTTATTCCGTGGATCTTACAGATATTTGTTCAACATATCCTCTTACCGTAATCACTGTACGTTCTGCGAATTTCTTCCGCAGCGGTCGCGCATGGTTTCCTCGGTTTTCCCTCGCAAGTTTCGCTGACATTGCTCAAAATCTCCATCATTTACGGTTTCAAATATTAGTACGATGTTAAATGTGGTGTCATATATCATGCCCAGGGAGAGAGAGAGAGATAGAGAGTCTAATACCACTGTCGGACGAATTTCCCTCTAATTTATTACTCCGTTGACGTCCAACCTTTCATACGCAAAGTTCACGGGAGCACCTACGCGTGTCTGAAATCTTCTTACGTGCCGGTATCACCGGCTCCGCAGCCTCTGCAAAGACCAGAAACCCGACAGGTTCGCACACCCTTTAGGTAGGAGGGTAGTTTCGAGATGGATGCGACCGGGATCAAGGAGGTAGGCTGCCTTTCGCGGAACAAGTAATTTCGACGTTTTACTCTTCAATCTTGACGGTATCTAGGGCGTGATTCTGTTAAAAAATTCATATTCGTACTTATTTATTTATAGTCATGATGCACGGTTCATTTTTACGTCGTTTCAGGCCTATGGTGAAGAAAGTAGTTGCAAGTACCTAATTAGTCAGTTATTGTGCTCATTAAGACAAAGTATATTATTCATTTTTTAACAATTTTCTTCTAATACACAAGACAAACAAATGCTTTAGTCTTCATACACAGTCCACTGCACCATTGTCAGCAATCATGTAATAAACATTACTCCATTACTACACTACACACACACACCCCAAATCGGTTTTCGTTTTCCACGTTCTATTATTTCATGGAATACATCTGTTCGAATACAATTTTCTTCTAATACACAAGACAAACAAATGCTTTAGTTTAGATGTACAGTCGACTGCACCATTGTCAGCAATCATGTAATAAACATTACTCCATTACTACACTACACACACAGTCCCCAAATAAGTTTTCGTTTTCCACGTTCTATTATTTCATGGAATACATCTGTTCGAATACAATTTTCTTCTAATACACAAGACAAACAAATGCTTTAGTCTTCATATATAGTCGACTGCACCATTGTCAGCAATCATGAATGCTGGTACGATAGAACATACTATCGACGAATTAAGAGGAGTAATATCCACAGAAAAGGATTCAGTCTCTCTAGTATCAAGTAATTAGTTAAGTAGGCCAAGAACGAGAAATCCAATTCCTTGAACGGGCGTGTTCAGGCCCGTAAGAAGACAGGAGTTCCCAGTGAATCCCTCTGGTTTCCGGTAATTGTTTAAAACCATCGACAGCACAATCCCGCGCGCTCAGAGACACGGAGAGACAGGAAAGTGTGCTGCAAACGACGCGACCAGGATTGGAAACGTTCCCGTCCGTCCCCCACCAGCTAATGAATCACGAGCGGCGGGGGCCGAGGAGGAAGGTTTTCCCGATGAAAACACCTTCAGTTTATCGAGCAAATAAATTGCTAGAATTAGATCTCCATGTCGTCGGGGAATTGTGGCCGACTGGTATCGGAGACAGTCCGTTGGGTCTCTGTTAGGCTCGGTTCGCGTCCCGCTGTTCTGGGAAATTTACGGGTCCGCCGGATTGCCTTGTCGAAGATTGCAGCCCCAATCCTATCGCGTCCGGGGAAAGCCTCGTCTCTTGTACAGCTCAGGCTTAATTTGTGAGATTTCTCTCGTTCGTGCTGATCCTCCCCCTTTTCACCTTTGCCCTCCACTGTTCTTCGTCCCATTTTCCAACCTGGTATCGTCTTTTCCTACCGGGCGACTCGTTACAATATACATATATGAACGATCCACGTTGCTCACGGGCACAAAGGGCGAAATTATGTCGATCCCCCAGACACCATAGGCGAAGATTGAAAAAAAAATGGAAATTACCCGGTTCCGTGAGCGGAACCCCCTTCAAGTTAACGTATGTTTTTGAAGCTACCCTGAAATTAGAAATTTCAATCATTTCTCTGCTACCTAGTCTTTTATATCAAGTCTTTATTTATTTACCAATTCGTTTGACATAATTGAATGTATTATAGTTATTATTATTCCTAGAAGTAACACGTGTATCGACGTGTCCATATTTTTATGTCTGTACATAAGGGTTAGATTAGAAATTCCAGTGAAGCAGTTCTCTAGGTTCGAAACTCTACAAAACTCTCTCGCTCGCAGCAGTATTCCGTTTCGAGCCCCCTTTGTCCGGCGAACTTCACGCCAGTCGGCGGGTCTATTACACGAATAAAATAATTCCGAAAGGATTATTTTCATATTTGAAATTTACTTGCTTAACCGCAAGTCACTTTGGAAATCAGCGAGTCATTGCCGGTTCCGTGTGGCAGATGGTTTGTTTCCGAATTATATCATCAGCCTGCCATAAGCCGAATCGAAGAATATAGAGTTTCGTGGATCTATTCAGAATGGATCCACAACACTCCATAGAAACGCTTCCCCACGAAACGAGCATTCCAATGGGGGAGGGGGGGCTTCGAAATTTTCGCGAGCAGTGCGCGGTCGCCTATCGGTTATTCCGGCTCGAAATGTTACCGATTCCCTCGTCCGTGCGTCTGATCCGGCGCGAGCAGATAACTGATAGAATCCCCTCATTTATCCAAATCCGACGGATAATCCAATCTGGAATTCAAATAAGCTCAGTTGCGCGCCGGCTGTTACCCGGGCTGTGGCACAGCGAGAACAACCAGCTCGCCGCGTCGATCAGACAGATTCCGCCTGAGTCATCGCGACGCTCGAAGCCCGTCGAATACTCATTCGCGACCGGCTGAAATCGACGTCCTCGTTCGCGAGTCTCCCCCTGTCGTCGTCTCGACGACGGACGTTCGAGCGACGCCTGGCGACGTTCCATGGCTCTCGACCCTCGTAATAAGTGCCGAAGAATTCGTCCAATTTCCTGCTGCCTCTTTTTCGTTTGTCAGCTCGCGCCTCTATTCACCCGTCCCCACCTCCAGCTTCACGTCCAACCCTTCTACCAGCGTCGTTCCGTTGCTGCATTTATCCCCAGACCGTTTTTCTTGTACTTTTTTTTTTCCGGTAGATCGGTACTCAATACTTAGAAGGGGGCACGGAATTTCCTGTTCCTGTGCTAATGCGCGAGATGATTATCGCGGTTGGTTGCCGCGAGGAAACCGCGAGATCGCGATGATTCCACGCTACGTTTCCGTGCGGTGGTGGGAGGGATACGGAGACGAGCAGGAATTTTTAATACGAGGATATAGGGAATCGCGATCATGATTATTGGCACGTATAAGGGTTTCAACTGTCCGACTCTCAAAGAATCGAACTGATGGAATAGCTAAGTAAACTTTGCTTATTTCCACCGCTTAATGTGAGATCTTTGCTCTACAAACCGAACATCGAGGCATGTTGTTTAGTTTATGATTTCTTTAAAAAATGTAACATAAGAGTTTGACGTTCCATAAGTAGTGTTTAAGCCATGAATAATGATTTAGTTATTAATACTTGTAACTCTTTTGTGTAATTAGTTGTAAGTCTTATGTAAAGCTTTACAACTCTTCTTTCAGAGTTCAATCTAAGCTCAAAAAAAAAAAAAAAAAACTGTCCGACTTCGATTTTAACGGGATTTTGTAAGATGATAGTGTACCTGTTACTAATGATGCGTGTAAAATTTTAAGTCTAGACACTCGATAATTTTCAAGAATTCGATTGCATTTTCGAAACGAAAAACATATAACTTACACCATTTTCATAATCACCAGAACATAATAGAAAAACGTAGATTCACACAGACGTCCGTTTATTCACTCGCGAAGAGCATATACCTGCAAAAGCTCATAGTGTCACCAAGAAAAAAAAAGAACTAGGTGAAGCGTTTGAACGAACAGGGACGGGTGAAGTAGGTAATAATTGTTATCACCACGGAGCAATCAGAAGTTATATCGCGCGAGGGATCGAAGTTTAAATACTTCTTCGGTTCTTTTTTTTCTTCTTCCCAGAGAGATGAAACTGTAGCGTTTCACGTCCCCGTGGACGTTAAAGGAACGGCTCCTTGGGCATGGCGAAGTAACTTCTCTGGTACCTTTTCATCAAACTCCGTCTCAGCTTTCACTTTTCGATTTTTGTTCTTCCCCTTCATTCCCTTACTTCACCTCCGTCCAACGGCGGAGACGACGAGCGTCCCGTGAAATTTCTGTTGCTTGCCAGGCGCGTGTGATTCATCGCTGTAATTTGTTTCCTCCCCCCACCCCCAACCCCCTGCACTCTAATGCGGATACGATTCCCGGTTGTTCGCAGCTTTCGGCGTGAAACAAAACAGGTCGGAGGTCGACGACTCGAAGCACGACGTGGACGGTGCTCCCACGGCCTTGGTGAAATATCCGGACAACTTGAATCTCCGTGATCTTTACTACTTCATATTGGCGCCCACCCTCTGCTACGAACTGAATTTCCCGCGGACACAAAGGATTCGGAAAAGGTAAACAGCAATAAGACCCGCGAACTTTTGTTGAGTCGAGAAAGTGATTTAATTCGTTGTAACAGTAATAATCTCTCGAGATCAGCCAATGTATGTAGTTTAAGTTCACATGATTTTCTTTTTATTTTAGAAAGAGGTAATTTAATTTTCACATTCTAAGACAATATTGCTAGGCGCAGAAGTGGATGATTCGTGATTTTCATTCAGGAAATATAAATTAGATCCGAGTGAGAATTAACGAAATATTTTATCTTATTTTAAATAGTAGCTGTATATTGTGGTATTTGTCGGAACGTCGAGAATTAAAAAAGTGTCTATACAACATGAAAGATCGTTGAAAACTATAAATTTTGTGGTAGATATATTTGGATTTCTTTTAAAGAGTTAAGGGTAAAACAAAATCGAATGAACAAGCATAAAATCCGCAGACTACACATTACACACTGATCTAGGTGTGAATTTAAAAATTACTAGGATATTATAGGAGAACGTACGCGTTCAAGCACTTCCCGGAAAGGAGTTTTTTTTCTCTTCTTTTTCGCTCAGTTTCGGTCGCACGCGTGTCGTGGTTCCCCATCGGTAGGGAAACGTAGGGAAGAAGGCAAAGTTGGCGAGCCGGGAGTGTTCGCAAAATTAGATTTAAGTGGGCTATTGTTGGGAAAATAGAGGAGGGTACGTTTGGATGGACTCTGGTGGAAGGGGCAAGAAGGTGGTGGGGGGTGGGTGTGATGTATTCCTTTCCGTGCTTCCGGCTCGTACTTCCGATTGTATCCGGAATCCCAGAGATTTTCATGGAACACTTTCTTCCGTCTGCGCGGACGTATTTCCGCGATGCATGCAGGGTTTGTCGGAAAGTGCATCGTGTCTGGATGGCCGACATTTCTTGCCACCGGCGCGGAGCGGTTGTTGCCTTCGAAAATCCGGGGAACAAATTGCCCTGGAAAAGAAACATCATATCCGCGTGGCCACTCTTTCTCCAAAAGCATGTTTACGAACTTCTATTTATCCCTTACACACGTATAATAAATGAATAAATAATAACTTATCCGAGCGTGATGCATTTATATAAGACACGAGTTCTGGAGCTTCAGTGGTAAAATATTGGGGCTGTCATTTAGAAAGTTGTAGGATATATGAAGAATATTATTGAGAGACATTTATTTTGAAAATTTTAACGCTATAGCGTTCCGTTTGTCGAGAAAGAATTGTTTGTTTGTCGTACCTCCAGTTTACCTGAGTATATAAATATATTCACCTTGTTATTATAAATAGAAGCCTGGATTTTCACAAGAGTCCTTGAACGTACTATCCCTATAAAAAATTAATTCTTGAAAATACCTCCTTAGAAATAAGAATTTTCAAAAATACTTCCCTACAAAAATAGAGTTCTTAAGACTCATAATAAAAGAAGTCATTTCTTTCTGTGGGTACATTGCGTAGACATTGTTGCTCTCGGTATATTTCCAAATAACTTTCAGTAAACCCCATTGTTGAAGCAAGTAGTGCTTTAGAAACAGCAGAGTGGATAGCTTGATTCAACATGCAGCCAAGCAACCTCTGCTTATAATTTTCATTCATGAAGACGCGGTCGAAAATACGAATCGCTAAAGTCTTACATACATGTATTTAGGAAAAGGAATCAGTCCACTTTCAACATCCCTTTAAGTCACCAGCTTATATTCACAAATATTCGAAATAATTTTTTTTTTCGTAAAACTGATCGATCAATTCATCGTTCCCTTCAGCTCAATATCAGTATCTGGCCGTCACAAATATTTTCTTTTCCGTAGATTCCTAATTAAACGCATCCTGGAGGTGGTGGTCGGCTGCCAAGTGGTGATGTCGTTGTTCCAGCAATGGATGATCCCATGCGTGAAGAACTCCCTGGTCCCGTTCAGCGTAAGTTCTTTCATTTACCGACGTATCTCTACATCATAGCAAAACAATTTTCCGCTTTCCTATCCGTCCATTACTACATCCCGGTATCCCATACGTCATCCGTGTTTATCCCTTTTTATTCTCCTCGGCAAATAAATAATAATAATCTATCGTTTCGACCACGATACATCGATACTTCAGCGGTGCCCGTTATTAAAGGGGGCTAATTATTTATCGCCTAGCTCGTAAATAAGTCGAGGGCGGTTGCCTGGCCCGCGAACGAAAATGGCGTCTAAGATAGAGAGAGAGAGGGATCCAGGCAGAGAGATAGAGAGAACGGTAGCAGAAGTGTAATTTGGTTTCGGCAAATAGGTACGATCAATCTTTCTCGTAATTCCCTAACTCGAGGTGTACGATACGCACGAATATATGACCGGACAGAGGTCACGTTGCTCAGTTCTCATACCGCCCACCACTGGGCTAGAATCGCCTGGTTGCACCCTCTATCACTTCCATAATGATGTGTGTCTACGCACGCCGCACAATAATAGCCCTGACGCGCCATCAGTTTTTATCTCGTGGACTGTTAAACGATCCTTCACACCCCTGGTCTCTTTCTCTCCCTTTCTTTTTGCTACAGTTACATTTGACTGGCTCGATCATCTGTTAGGAGACACGTCACGTTTCGCAGGGGATCTACATTTGTGTGTGTTTGGTCGTATCGCGACAGACGGTCGTGTGTAATCAGCACGGCGAATATTCGGGATAAGGGACAATTTGGACGGAATGCAACTTCGGAGAATATTACCGTGGGCGATTGCATCTGTTGCTGCGGTTGAGTAATGCTTGCTCGAGCGTGGACGATAACGATGAATGTCCAATGAAGGATGATGAACGAATGTGAACGGAGCAGATAAAGGTACTTGCGAAACGCTGGAATCCATACACAGGGTCTTTCCGGTTGCTGTATTGGCGATTTTTTGTAGACACTGTTACCTCTATATGTATGTACGTGTATGTAAGCACATTTTTTAGATTTTTAGATTTTTTTAGTGGATGATCGTTTAGATTCGTTCTGGGCATATTCTTGTTGGTCACTGATTACATTTTTTTGTAGGTAGGTTGTGGATGTTTATACATTTGTAGCGTCTCTTAACATAGAAAATGGAATAGGAGAGACTTTTCAATAAAGTTTCAGACTATTTATTTATTCGCCAGTAATTCCATTCGCCGTTCGAACAATGGAAATCTAGCTCACTACTACTACGATTTTACGAGCGATTTATTTGTTGCCTAAGTTGTTCGTCGTCGAATCGACCTGGTACGAATTATTTCCGGCTAGGCAGAGTCCCGTGCGGATCCGCGACATAGACGACGGGGCTTCTTCGAATTTCGATCGGCTTTCCGAGGACCGTGCTAATTCAGGTTCAACTCGAAATGTCACGAGATTGTTTTGCATCCCCGCGGGGTGATAGGGCACGATAAAGACACCCCGTGATCACGTGCACGTAATGAGTCGACGAGCAATTCCGACCGTCCGGGCACGCAGTGGAAATTGCTATTGCGCGAGCCGGCAATTGCGGTTCCAGACAACACGAAGATCTCGCGAAATGAACCTGCTGACGTCGCTTTTTTTTCCATCGCCCTTTGTTAGCTACCGATACAGCTCATACGGAGCCAAAATATATTAAATCCTAGATGAGTGTTCGAAGGCTCCTCGGTATTAGCTTCAGAATTTCAACTAACCTAAACCTCGTTAAAAAGTCAGCGTTACATGTGGGGACTTCGAACACAACATTTTTTTAATTTACTTTTGACCCCTTAACGCCCAAACATCTCTTCCGAGAAAATAATTATTTCTTCTGAATAATTAACTTGAAAATGATTTCCATATATGTGCACCTCATCTGTCTTTTCACGACGAAACCACTGGAAATATGATTCTCTGAATGTTAAAAGGTTAGAGTAACTGAAAATAATGAGTAATCGTATCCTCTCAAAAATACCACCTTCCAATCGTTAAAATTTTAAACCTGATCGTACATATGTCTCGAAACTCTTGTTTATTCATTTGTTTGCTTTTTCCCCCCATTTTTTTCGTTCCACGGTTCGAGGGAATTTCTCCCGACGCATGGGATCACGGAACCGCGACGATCCCGAACGTTGTGATTCCCGGTTTAATCCGTCGGCGATATTAATTGAAAAAATTCACCAACGGGAGCTTTAGATTGTCCGTTAACGAGGGTAGCGGAGATAGGGGGTGTTACCCTGCTGTCGACTGTCACCGCCCGGCGAGAAATTTCCAGCTCGCGTGTTCACTTGGTGGATTTAAATGGATCCTTTTACGCAGACAGTTTTAACCACGGTTGATCCGCGCCGGACATCCGCGGTTTACCGCCCCCCCACCCACTATATCCATAGATCGGCCTGTAATGTAGTCCTGGGTGGTCGTGCTTGGTCAGCGCGGTCACTAGGAGTTTAAAATTTCGATAGCACGTTTCGAACCGTTCGATGATGGTAGTTCACTTTGGTTTTTTCATCGATGGGAACGAGATATTTCTGTGAATAAGTAGAAAAGGACGAACTTCGTCGGCTATGAAATATTCTGACTCACTTCTACAAATCGTATTCGTAATGTGACGTCGTGGAATATTATCGGAAGTTCATTTCTAGTTAAATATTGCATCCATTAGAATCGTTATCGAGAAATTTGGAACGGAAGGAATTAAAATTTGTATTATTACATCATCATAGTCAAGAGAATTTGCTTGATTGAGTTTTTCAGAGAAATTCTGTTTCTGTAGTCGGAAAACCCTAGATTTTTCAACGGAAATACTTTGGAATAATTAAGTGATGGAGAATTGCTTGGTCGGGCATAATGTACAATACAGGTCGTTCGATGAATAAAAAATGTTAATATTTTCCACTGTATCTTCGTATCGTGATTTATGGAAATGTACTTTCGAAAAGAAAAAGGAACAAACCTTTACGAGATCTCAAGGTATTATCACCCTGTTTTATTGTTTTACTAGAGGGGCATCCAACAGAAAAATGTTAAAATTCAAAGTGTTGTTTAACGCAGACCCTCTTCTTTTCTTTAAAGGAAAGTGGACTCCCAATGAGAGGGAGCGCTTCTTACTACGAGCAAGTAGAAAAGGGCATGCTTTGTCAGACACTAGATATTCTATCTCGTTGGAAAAATAATTCGACTCGGCTTACAGCAAAAAACTGTTTGAAACCGGCCATTTCTGCGCTGAAAATCACCTTCTACCGTAATCTTCCTATTACATTCAACATTTTTGTTACAATCATAATAATCCTTTTCGAAATCTTTTTTACCGCCCGTTCTCTCTTCGGTTCTACTCCAACTGCTTAGAAATACTATTAAAATTCTATAAAATTCGATTAAATCTACTTAAAACTGACTTTCCCTTTTTTTCTGTTTTGGCAACAATTCTGTTAAATCCATTTATCAACGACTTCTTCAATTTAACCACAAAAACCTATCGTTCAAAATATTCCAAAGATAACAGGGAATTTTTATCTGAACCTTTACAATAACGTGTGGACGTTTCGAATACGCTCTGATTTCAGTCCGTAACGTTTCCCTTTCCCCAAGTTCTAAATGGACGCGTGATCCTAAATATTCAAAAGGGGGATACTTGGTCACGTAACTTTGTAACAACGAGACCCCGCCCCTCTATCAACGCGGAACTTGCACATCCACGATTAGATAATTCAGCCCCCTCCCCTGTCGTCGTCGCCTTTAACCACTCCCCAGAATCTAGCCTCTCGTCAGCCGATTATTAAGTGTTTCCATAGCGTCGAATCGACGGCGGGTAGATCGACGTAAGTGGCGGGGTTCACGGGGATGGAAAGGGATTTCGCGGTGGGCCGAAGACAGACACCCCCGTTCACGATTTTCAACCGCGGACAAATTGCTCTCGGTAAATCGATGTTCGATTTGAGATTCCTCTAGAATCACCTCTGTTCCACGACCGTAACCGTGAAAATATTGATATGAAATAGCGAAACGTCGAGAGCGTGATCCACCTCTCGAAGCTGTGTCTTGTGCATCGACTCGTCCATTTTTAAATTATCATGCATTCAGGCATGAGAATTATTGACATAATTTTTTAAAGGAATACTTCTACACGAGAATGGTTCTCCCGTATAATTATATCAATAATTGCAAATTAATATCGAAAGTCCATTTTTACAGGATAAAATTCTAAAGACACGTCACATTTCATTGAATTTAACGCTTCAAGTCTCGCAGACGTGCGTCTAATTCCCCCAGCGATCGGAACAGAGGATCGTTCGATCCAGTGGGCAAGCTCCTGTCCGATCAGTTGTCCCTTCAGGTTCGTTCGTCGGGTGTCGAGCTCTCAAAATCGCGACGTCGATCGAACGCAAAGTAATTATCGTGCAAGGTTGCGCGAGAGTTAATTCCGGGGTGGCTGAGCCCCGTTCTCGATCCATTTCCACGTCGTCCCCCTCGTCATTTTCTCTATCTTCGATCGGTCGTTACCCACCCTTTTTCTACGTTTTCTCACGATGGCCCTCTGCCCCCTCCCCCTGTCCCTTCTTTCCAGTCGCCTTTCTGACGGACAAATTGGATTCGATAATTGCGAATCACGATGGCAGGGACGACAGTCACGTCGTCGATCGGCCCCAGTCGGCCAGCTGACGGGGGAGTGAATGTCTCCGTCTTTCGGTCCGTTTCGCGATAGTCTATCACTGTCGCGAGACGCCGAACGCGAACGACAGGTCGAGTAATCGATTTCGATGGGTATTGCTTTCATTCGTCGATGAGTCACGGATCCACGGGAATCCATAGCTAACGCCGTGTCCCGTTGTAATAGATCGAATGTTTTTTTCTTCATCTTGAACCAACCAGATGGAAAGATCCCTCGAGCGGTAGGATGATTTCGCGGAAGCTGGAACGTGGCCACTCCGATTACCACGCGTAGAGTTCCTTCGTTAGAGTATAAAGAAGTATGGCGTATAAGTGATGTCCG